ATAAAATGTGAAGAAAAAACAAAACAACAAATTGATTTTCAAATGAGCGCCAAACTGATTTACGAAAACCGAAAAGAGACATTAGAAGCCCAGCACAGATTCATCCACATTCCAAATATTTTAACAACCTTATTCGTGGCAATTTGCATTTTTTACTTTTCAAAAGCAAATTATAACAACTGTGGCAGACAACAAGCCAGCAGGTATGGGGGTGGTGGTCTGCTGCCTAATAAACGACAGATTTGAATAAATAGCTACAACGGAGGCGGAGAGAGAGGAAGTGCAAAATTCTATGCGCAACGAAGCTGTTAGCATTGCTATTTGTTTGTACGCTCTATTGGTTTTATACTGTAACGATATTTTTTTTTACGTTTTTGTTGTTTTTGTATCACACACCAACCGAATGCTGCTGCTGACACGCTGCTAAATTAATTAAACTTCTTCAATTTTAATTTAGTACTTCTCGACACCGGCAACACAGGAGTTCGCAGTAATGGCCAGCAACAGCTACGACAGTGGTGGCAAAAAATACAATAACAAAAGCAACAGAATGCATAAAAAAAAACTGGAAAAAGGGCGAAATAACGGTTGCTATAGCGCTAACTTAATGATAAGAACAACATGAGAATGTAACAAAAATTAAAATTGATCGGAAAAAGTCAGTTGTAGACGCAGCAAAGTGAGGGTATGAATTTATAAAAAGTGAAATAATCACTTAAGAAGTTAAAAGTGTTGATTGGTAACGAAGCGGATGGATGGGGGCTGAATGTAAAGCACGTAAATGCTTTAAAAAAATGGTGTGAGCGATCGATTCGACGAGTCATAGCAGCAAGTTTTTCACAAGACCCCAGAGCCATGCAAATTTACCCAGACCGCCACACAATTCTGGCACTGAAGTTCTTTCATTAAAATTTTAATTGACGGACATTTTCCGGCAAATCAACTCAAGCGAACGTGCGACAGTCGCAAAGGCGATAAGTGAAGAACAAGAGTTACGAAAAACCAGCCAGCGCCAGTAGTAGCGGTGGGCTTAACGGTACATAGAAAAATGGCGAATGGACAGCAGGAAACTTTTCGTCACCAATTTTCAAGGAAATTGCCAGCTTTGTTGTATTTTTTGTTTCTTTCAACTCATTTCTCTTTTTGTTGCATAATTTTTTTTTGTTTTATTAAAATTCGCTCCGCAGGACGCTGGCTGAACCCTGGTTGCGCTGAAAAATTGTCACTAATAAAATATGGTTTGGAAAAATTCGTTAAAAAGTCAGCGTGTGCTACGGTGGTCGTAGAAAGGAAGTGTAAAGTGCCAGCAGAAGAAAAGCAAAAGTGATTTAGATGAAGTGAATGAATATTTACGACCGCGCCGCTAAGCAACTAGCTGACAGACCAAAACGATTTAGCGCCGGTTGGAGGTGCCACCGCCGTTTGTTAACAACTTCAAAGGCGGCATGCAAGCTAAGACAAGCTGAATAAAGGACATTAACATGTGCAGGCGCGTCAACTGAGTCATTTGGCAAAACGCTGAAGTGAGCATGCCGCGCCGAAAGGAATATTTGAATATCGTTAGGGCGGCGGCGGCGTAGCAGACTGGCAACACAGTTAGTAAACGCAAAGGTGGTGCGCAATAACCGGGAAGGTGCATTGCGAGACAGCTAGAAAATATATGATAATAATATTGCGCGACCACAATGAACTTACAAAGACAGCTGCTGAAAAGCACACACGTGCCTTCCTACCCACCTCACCAGCAGAAAAGCATAAGCGAATGCACGGCACAGCATTGGCGGTAAGTAAATAAAATTGACTTGCGGTTACTTGCCACCTGCAGCCGTTAAGCGCCAAGTGCCACGCATCCGCTGCATACAAAACTCCCCACAATTGTAAGAAGCACGCCTTTTAGCGTAGCATGCAAGCCGCCGTCGGCAACACGCCTTAGCATACCCACTCAAACTGCGCGACAGCTTAAACACAAAGCAAAGGAGCTAGCTAACAACAACAATAAAGATCCGCCACAAACCCGCAATCCCTTCGAACACCTGAAACGCAGTCAAATAAAAGGAGGGAGAAAAAAATAATTCGAGGGAAAATCAACAAAAGCGCCAAACAATAGCAAAAAATGCGCAACAGTTGCATTTATGAAGCGCCAACAACACGAGCAACAATAAACAGCAGTTACGCCAACAGCAGCAATCAACACAGCAAGCAAGCAGTCCGCGTGGCACAGCCGTAGCCTCGTCAGACGCAACGAACACCATGATAGACTTCGGTCGGTTGGCTGGTCGGCCGGTCGGCCGGCAAGACAGCAAGCGAGCGAAGTAGCATATCCTGCGGTAAGTTTTCTCATTTCCACCTCAGCCAGACTGAGTTCAGTGCTCAGCACAAGTTTGTTCAGCTGACGGCATGTTTGTGTTGTTGTTGTAGTTTTGTCGGCAGCTGTAAATGTTCAACCGAAATGGGCAAAGTGAAAACCATAGAAGCGTGACGTTGCAAGTGGTTAGATTGGCTGCTATGTATGCAAGTATGTATGACTTGGAGATAGCATTCGTTGTGGAGCAAGGCGGTCTCTCCTATCAACAACGTTGCCAGCTGTAACACTTGGTTGATAACAACCGCAAACACCGAAAAACATACACAAACAAATTGTGAGTTATGGATACAAGCTGATAGACTTAGATTTTTAGTAATCAATAGTCTCTGCCGAATTGTAGATGATTCCAAAGCAGGGTGATACGAGTCCTCTGGTAGAACAAGAGGATTACTCTGAATAACGAACACTTTGAAGAGGAATCAACGTATACTAAATCTAAGCATTTACCAAATCTATTCGGAATCAAATTAATTTGGTTCAGACCCAACTCCGACATTTTTTCGAAAAACTCATAAAAACATGACCGATCACAAATCGGTACGATATAGTCATCGAAAGCTTTCCACGAAGCACACGGTAAATCAAGAAATCTCCTAACATGATTATTGAATCTGCATTACTTGCTATCGAGGTAGCAGGATTTATTAAAGAAGCATGCTGCATATATACAGATAAGTACGAACGGGGTGGTATATAAGACAGGGTTAAATAAATAAAGCAACTATTAACGTAGACTCTAATACATTTAAAATCATATGAGTCGGTTCCTGGAACGAGAACATCTTAAGATGCGATAAAAGAAGGTACGGCAAACAGAACACCTCCTCCGATTCTGTTCAGTCGATCACATCTAAATATTTCAAATTCGCTGTTTACGATCTCATTATCAAAAATGTGAGGTTTTAACCATGTTTCTGTTAATCCAAATATATGGAAATTAAAATTGGAACTGTTTAAGTACAAGTCGATTAATTTTGTATTAAGACATTTAACATTTTGATAACAAAAGCTTTGCGAATTTCTACCAAACAGTTTTTATATCGGTGGTTGCTTTTAGTAATTAGGAGGAAGTAGAAGGCTTCGTCCCTCATTTCAATCAATCTTGAACCAAAAGTGCTTTATAAATGCCGAACTTTTTTTTTATCCAGCAAATCTCAATTTCATATTGAGAATTTTTTGAATTTTAGGTATGACGTTTTAAAGACGGAACACTCAGCTATTAATTTTTTCAAACTAGGTCTTATTTCCGAATTGCAAGTAAAACTATGTCGAGCTTGCTGACTTTGTGTGGTTTGAAATGATTTTTAAATTATTGAACCCAAAACCGAGACCATGATTACTTTTAAATAATTTTGAGACTCAGATCATGTTATTGCTCGTAGGCGTTTCGCTAGTTCCTAAAATCAGCCTACAGCAACACCATACAAATGATATTCTTCAGCAGTTATGAATTGCGAGTGGCGTTTTCACGCTCCAGATACTAACTTAATTGGCCACAGTAACAACAGAACAGTAGGCACCAGGGGTGCCAGATATAATGGGATTAGAAAATACTCTCAAACCAGAAGTTTTTACGATTATAAGGAGAAAACCCAACAGACAGATCTCCTTTTCTTTCTTAAATCCATTTCTGCGGTTGGAAACTTGGAACCTATACCTTTGAGTAAAGTCAAAGGAAATCAAGAAAATAAAACTATTTGTCACGTTCTTAGCTTTTCTCTTGAGCTTTTATAAAATATGGACTTTATTAGGTTAAAACTGCTAAACCCAAGTAGAAAATTCTCTTCTTATAGAAAAAAAGTGAAAAGTTTTCGAAGTCCTTAACGCAAATTGCAATACCGCTATGAATAACAATTTACGGTAGAGCCAATCGGCTTTAGTTGCTGAACTCCCAAGAGAAGCCTCAGGAATGCCGCCTCCTCGAAAGCAACTGCAGCACTGTCCACACGATCATACTGCAAGCAGCAGGCGCGACCAGAGAATAGTGACAGCAGCAACATCAGCAGCACATCCTGGCCCGCAAACCGACACATGCTGACTGCTGGTGACGGCTGAACTGGCTAGCCAACAACATAACGCAGCCACAGACGTGCCAATTGACAACACTTTTGGCCGAATGTGAGCTGCCAGCAAGCAAGCTAACAAACACACACACATACACTCAAATTCGTAGGTAAATATGAGTGTGCTTGTAGGGCCATTAATGTCTTAGTGACATGTGTCCTGCAGTCGCCATATGCGCGCCGCACATTCTATGACTGTGTAGATGTGTATGTGTGTGTGTGTGTGAGCTGTTATAGATTCAAAGGAATGCCAAGCAAATACTCTGCTCTTTGTTGTCCTTTACGTTGAGCTTATTTGTGTAGCGCTCTCATCAAACTAGCAAACTGTGACTCTCTGTTTGTGCAGAGACCGGCTTGCGCGGCGCATGTGCCCACACGAGGCGCTAGCGAACGCGGCTGTTAGCATTGAAATGTTATTAGTTTGCCAACTACGTTTGATGGGGTGTTAGAGAATGCGCGGCGGGCGGCAATAAGCTGTGGTGGCTTTCGTTATGTAAACAATTTGTGAAAACCAACTCAACATTTTGTAAATTGGTATCCTGCCGAGCTGTTAGCCATTGTAGCTCGGTTTCAGTCGTACTTTGACATTCGCGTTGAGCGGTAGACGGTGCGCTGGTGAACCGATAAGCGCAACACGGTATAGAGCTAACCGAAAGCAAGCAAATGACCAAGAAGAAGAAGATTTGTGTTTGTATTTGAATGACGGTAGAAGAAGAAGAAGAGTTCGAAATAAAAGTGCCGGTGTTTTTACAAACCCCAACAAAAACACCACTTGTTAAAGTTACTATTCTGAATCGGTGTAGATCTAACTACAAACGCTGCTCTTTTCAATACTTAGCTAATCTACCCAGTCCTAAAAACAAATTCTTTAATTTCCGGTCGCACGTTCGGCAACAGTCTCGAGGCAGTGTGAAGAGGACGCTATAACAATCGAGCAAACAGTCGGTGCGCGTGTGTATTTTGTTTATACGCTTCGCGTCGTGCCGCGCCCGCAAACAGGCCTATTCAATGGTTTTCACTTAGCGACGCGCATTATTCTCGTCGCTGTCGCTGTCAGTGTCAGCACTGATAGTCCGTTGCGGTTGTGTTTTCAATTTACCATTACATGAACAAACAATCAATGACGCAACGCAAAGAAAGGAAAAAGTGAGAATAAAGAGTAGATAACAGTTAACGCTGGACGCGCATCCAGCCTTGGTGTTGTTAAGATATACAAATTGCAATTAAACCGAGCGAAAAATTTAATCCGCTTAAAGTGTTTGTTCTCAACTGAAAGCTTGTTATAAAAAGTATTTGTGCGCCTTTAAAATGCTTTTCATTAAGTAAAACGCTAACGCGTTGTGCCGCTTGTAATCACTATCCGCGCTACCGTTCAAGTGCTTTGCAACTTTACCTGTGAAAAAAGCGCGAACAATGCGCGCTACTATCAGTTGTCAAGCGCGCATACTCTTACTATCAGAAAAACTGCACAACGATATCGGTATACTATAAGCCAATTCAACTAACTAACTTCCGACTAGCAACGCGCAGAAATCCGCCCAGAGCGCCACTACATTAGCAACGCGCGACCGCGTTACGCATAAGCCAACTCGCCGCGACGCCGCTCACGCCTCATTAAAGTGTCATAAAAAGTTTCTGTTGTCATACTATTACTGTGGTTTTAACAATAACAAAACCAACAACAAAAGCATCACTACATATTTATAGCAGGAGTAGGAAACCACCGAGTTGACGCCGCGCGCTAACAATGGTAGATTTTAAAAGGATTAGATGAGTGTTGAAAGTCTACGAGTACAATGCTTTGGTCGCGCGTCATGCGAAAAGACACTAACAAGCAAATACCTTTTTTCCAACCAACAGCATTGAAGTTGGAAGTTTGTGTATGTGCATGTTGAGAAGCCAACAAAAAACATTTGAAGGCGACAGTGGAAACGCAAGCGGTGGGCGCAACGCAAACGCTTGCTGTTAAGGCTAGTTGAAATATTATCCCGTGAAAATGCTGAAAGTGCAAAATCACCGGGATAAGTGAGCTTAAGCGAAAGCGACATTATAATAACAAAAGCAACAAAAGTGAGTAATTATATAGTAAAAAATTCCATTAACTATATGTATTGCGCGTATGGCGGTGCCTTAACTCCAAACCCCAAACGCGCAACGCTCCAGACTTCAGATCTTTTGTGCGCGTCTCCACTTTCAGCAGTTACTTTGTTACGTTAGTCCTTTGTCAGTTAGTGTCACTGTCTGTGCGCGCTGTGAACACAACTATGAAAAGCGCCCAACTACGCGCTCACACTTAAGGAGCAAACACACACATGTACAAATATATGGAAATTCGAGTGTGTGAAATCGTGCGCGTTTGATTTTGGCAAAAGTGTATGCGTAGGTGTTGGTGATATATTGTGCACAAATTGTATTCGGCACTTGGCCTATGCGTGTGTAAGCCTATCCACAAACCAACTCCTTCGCTTGGCTAGTGATACGTGTAAATTGTGAGCGTGTCGAATTACTAAAAAGGATATATACACGTATTATTTATACAGTTTTTTGCGCATGTATGCGATTTATACGGAATATTCTTGTCGTAGGATATCATTTCACATCAATTTCGGTCGAGAGCAGCTCTCCGACGACACAGCAACGCTTCAGCTAGTTTATATTCAAGCGGACGTCCACAATAACAGTTATCCGGACGGCCCAGGCCGGAGCAGCCGTTAGCGAGTCGGCGTGTTAGCGAATCAAACGTGTCAGCCGGCCAGGCAGTTAGCTAGTCTGGCGCGTAAGCTGCTCAGCCATTCAACTGTGCTCAGGCGTTCGGGCTGGCGACCGCAACACCATTTAAGCTGATTGCATCTTGATAAGTAAGGATTTAATGTGTTTTTCATAAACAGCATGAACAGTTTTGCCAGTGCTACTTCTTTCTGTTGGCTTTCAATGTTTCAGTGTTTTTGGTGGCACCCTGCTTTGCATACATATTATCATACTCACTCTATAACATACATGTGTCTATCTCATATAACTTCAGATATGAACCCAAAAGCGACTTAAGAGTTCAAGCCATGAGCATTAGCAACATTTGATAAATGCCATTATATGTTTTTATTTCTGTTCCACATATACCTTTAATAATCCTTTTCGCTTTGAACTCACTCCCTGTGCAATGTCGTCAGTATAGATTTAAGTTAAGACGAGTTACTGCTGCGCTTTTTAAATTGGATTTTGCTATTAAAAGTTAAGATTGTTTAATAAGAAGCTTGAAATATAAGATTACTGGATAATCGGAAGAAATCCATAGTTTATTATTTAAGATGTTGATGAATCGAGTTATTTTATTTACCGTTACTGAAATTTACTAATAATTTTAATAACTGTTTGACTTTTTTATGAGAAAAAGCTTTAAATGAATTATCCACAACAAAACATGATTTTTAGTTGCTAATTGGGTATTAACTAAGCTTTAATAGTTAAGTCTTACTTTGTCTGATTCAACCTATTATTATTATTTTAAGTAAAACCGTATTTTGTCACAAAACGATTTTCTAATCCAATATAGTTGCCATCGAGCTCGATAATCTTATAATGGTTATCTTCCAACTTTCTAGCATTATTTTTTATACTTTCGCAACATATTGCTATGGAGTATAATAGTTTTGTTAACCTAACGGTTGTTTATAATATCTAAATCTAAACGAGATAGATATAAAGTTACGTATATAGAAATGATCATGAGATCGCAGTAGTGCGAGGCATCTGTGGGCTGTAAATTTTCAAAGTAGACGTGACCTCGTGTTTATTAGATTTAAAGTACATAGCTCTCAAGCCACTAGAGCTATATTAACAAAAGCTGAAGAGGAATCATTTTGCCACCTACTAATACAGTGTGAAAATCGTTTGATGCATGATTACTCGTTTTCCATATAACGGTTATGTTGAAAACTACTAAAAGTGCGATAAATTGCTAAATAATTTTGTCAGCAGCATTAAATTTTACAGCTAGTATGAAGCTAAAGGGTTTCAAAATATGCGGTGTAGATATTAGACAATAGGAGTGGCACCGGCCAACTTTAGGAGAAAAACTATGACTCATAAACTACGCGACTTATTTCAACGAAGTTTAGTTCATAACATTATCCTGATTATTTTATGTAACAATACGAATATGAGGCAAATCGCACTACGGTCAACAATTAATGCTTTAAATTATAATGACTTCCGTTGTTCTAGCAGATTTTATGCCGGATAGGTAGTTCATTAAATGCAATTGGTTCAGACCTTCTCCCAGCCCCAATATACAAATTCAAAGAAGTTTTTGAAATATAAATGTTTTCGAACATCCGACTTTGAACTTTCTGTTATATAAGCGTAACCGAAAAACGGTATACATCATTGAAATTAGTGGACAATATGGATGACGTTCATATTTTAACTTTCTTAGTCATTTACAAGCTGTAATTAATAATGCTATTTGTAATAAGCCGAATCTCGCAATTCAAAGGTAAATAATAACTCATTCTCTTATAAAACAAGAAATGAAATAAATAAAATGTCAAGTTACATCAAAAGATACTTGCACATATATGTACGCTAGTTAGACATCAGCTTTGTCAACTCTATGACTACTTTGCTCCTCATTTGATTACATAGTCACAGAATTTATACGATTAGCTAATTAAAGAAAATTGCTTTTGTATAAAATACATTTAATGCTACAAAATTTCTGCAGCTGTTTGAACTAACATTAAATAGCTTCTACATCTTTGATGGATATTCCGTTAGTATATGCATATAAAGAGTATGTTTTCCGACAGACTTCTGGACGCAAGTGAGAAGTGACCTGTTGATCATCGCGGACACAAACAAAATTAACAAACAGCTGTTAAAGAATACGATTACTACTACAAGCTATGCGTGATGATATAGATTTAAATTTTCTTGCAACAGAAGACTGAAGAAAAAGAAAAAACGTTAACGTCGGTTACACCGAAGCTATAATATCCTTTACAAATAAAAAGGTTTCCATACAAGATCTTGATTTTGTTGGGACAGTTTATATGATAATCTGAAATGATCGATCTGTAAAGTTTTTTCAGATGTTATACCGTTGCCTTGGACAATAATTTATGCCAAATTTCGTGGAAATATCTCGTCAACTAAAAAATTTTCCATACAAGGACAGGTCTTTATCGTTCAGTTTGTACGATAGATATATGCTATAGTCATCCGATATCGGCGATTCCAACTAATGAGTTGCTGCTTGAAGCGAAAAGGACATATGCAAAATTTTAGATCGATATCCTCAAAAAGTGAGAGACTAGTTCGCGTATACACAGACGGACAGACATACGGACATGTCTAAATCGACTCAACTCGTCACGCTGATCATTCATATGGATATTTTAAAAAGTCTCCGACGTTTTCTTATGTATTTTACAAACTTGGTGGCAAAACTCAATATACACTGTTCAGGATATAAAAATAATTAAATGAAATTAATATTATCGTTACTAGAAAACCCTATAAAAAGGCACATTTTATCGCTAACAAAAGATATTCACTTATTTTTACTTCTTTGATATTTATTATCCATTTACTTTTAATCTGCGACCTATTTACTTCGTCGCCTTTGACCAGGCGCCTCCATAAGCAAACAACAACTGCGCTGCACTTTATTCCCTGCCATGAATGGGCTACACAGATTTACATATTTATCTGCCGTCATTTACATAGATAAATACAAATGCACATACATATAAAAGGGTAAACAAGCTTGTTTACTCTAATGCTCGTCTAACATTTCTGAAACGCCTGCCGCCCCTTGAACCCTCTTCTGCGTTATCAAATAGTACGCCATCATTTGAAATGCTCCACAAGCGCGCACAGACACACATAGAACATACAGACGCATGTAGATGCCACTAACACATATGCACTAACATGCTAAATGAGAGCGTCATTTTAATATGCTTCGCCACACTCGAGCTGAGGCATTTACGCGCCGATAAATATGCTCGACCACGCCACACCACGCTCAACTAGCGCGCTTCACACGCTCGCTAACGAAGCGCACTGAGCAAATATTTCCTACAATACTTGTAATGTCCTTTTACAGCAGATTTACATTTGCGTGACTAACCGCCAACAAACATACATATGCATGTGTATGTGTGTTGAAGTATGCATTGATAAGCGCTGAAAAAAGGGCAAACACACACTAACATGGCCATTTAATATTTGTAATGCGTCAGCCAAATGCTATGTAGTGTAAACGCGTCGCCAAGTCTAATCTGTAGTTGTTTATTATATTAGTGTTGTTGTTGTTATTGCACGAATGTGTGTGCAATTACGTTAATATTAACTGCGTTTGAACGCAAAGCTTTGCAAAGTGAAAAAAATTTCACCGTTCTAAGAAAGAAGGCGAACACGCGCCTTGCCACAACGCTTTCTCCACTTCTTCTTCTTCGCGGTTAACGGTGAAAAGTGTGGCATTAATTGAAATCAGTGAATGGAACCGAAATGAACACAAATTTAGATTTACAGTCGCCCACTTATGGGTCACTTATGGGCAAACGACGGACCGCTACGGCGTACGTAGAAAGTGTGGGGTAAGTGAAATAAAAAACCAACGCAACAAAAACAAATGTGCTGATATAAATATCCTGTCGACGTCAACGCGTCTAATGGGCACTAACAGCTGATATCAACTTGATGGACATCCCCTAAAGCATTTGAGCCAACATTTTAATGTAAACAAGTAAAATAAAGCAAATGGCCAATACACACCCACACATGCACAACTACTACAAATGTACAAAATCCAAATGTACTGTTTATATAGTGAACTCATCAGTCACCTCATTTGTGCTCGTACTTACGCTTACCATTAGCTTCCCTTCATTTGGCAGTTCCACATTCATGGCTTGACTTTTTCAAAGCATTCGTGAGCTCGTTTTCCTTTGTTCAGATGGAGTCATATCGCATAATTAAAACACAATCTTATCGCTGTTGGCACTCAGTGAGTGCGTCCGTTCCGTGTTTTTGAACTGTGCAACTGTTACGTTGCGCTTACGTGAAACGCAAATGAATACATACACACGTGTGTGTGTTTTTATGTGTCCAGAGTGGTCAATATGTGCTTGTTGAAAGCAAAAGTTCATAGAATTTGTTTTATAATTTGAAACTGTTTGGTCAAATGCACAGGATGGAGCATATATATATATATATATATAGGAAATTGTACCTGTATAAACTTCTGGTAAAGATACAATATGCTCGTTTGCTTGAACAAATTTGAGGGGTGTTGACAAACTTGCTTATTCTTATGAATTTATATATAAATATGTATACATATACAAATATCTAGCTAAATGTAGTCTATATTTACATGTATATATATGAATACTCTGCAAAAATAATAAAAGTAAATATATTAAATGAAAAGTTTCTGAAAAAATAACTGATTTAATAACGAACTCTTGCTATGCACGTATATTCTTCGGAAATGTAGTTCGTTAGTATTCGAAATATTTATTTATTTATGAGCGACCTTGTTCGATTTCAGCAAGTTTTAGTTTGTCAAATATATTTCGACAACTTAATAAATTTGTTATATTTTTTGTTTTTTGATATTTGAACTATTTTGTTACTTCTCGTTGCCCTAAAATTAAATAAAATGTATTTATTTTTCTAGGTATAACGAGCTCTCTATCGTGCTAACACACTTCTTCTACCAGAATGCCAACAAAAACTAGTCAAAATTACTTCAATTTTATATACATACATGCACACGCATTGCCTTAGTAGTAAAGGCACTTTTATTTGACCAAATGTGCGTAATTCGACAGCATCTGGTTTGGCAATCCCT